TTATTTTAAAATATAAACTATATTACAGATAAATGAATGGATTAGCCTAAAATAGCCTCTATTTATAGCAATCCTAAAATAATTCAATATTTTCAGTGTATTAAACTGGCAATTTAAGTGAAATGTTATGTTAGAGCACCAACCCCTTCATAAAGGGTGTTATTCTACATATTATACATGCTGATAAAAGTGACTTGATAATGCGCACTTGTATTAATACTTTTTTTAAAACTCTTAAATTTCATGCATTTAAATACATATAATTGCATGCATACAATTATACATATTTAAGATAAAAAATAATACATTTAAGATTAAAAAAAAACATCTACCTAGAATTAATATTAAATCAACTTTATTCAAATTTCATTATGCTTTTTCTTATTATCCAGGCATAATTTCAAAATAATGAGGAAGGAAGTTAATTCTTGATTAGCTACGATAATGAAAGGAAAAACCGTGAATGCATTTAAGTATATAAATTACATTTTATATCATTTACTTTGTTTAAATGCATCTTAAGAATTTACAATGTTTACAAAAGAAAAGAAAAATGAGAGCAAAACAATAATACTATTAATGTAATTATAGACATAATGGACATAAGCAACTTAATTACAGTTATTGAAAATACAACCAAATATTTTATAGCAATCCTAAAATTGGAAGTGAATTATTTATCGCTATTATATAAATCTTGATAAGGTAATAAATTATTGATTCCTTTATCATGCAGACAAAAAAAGGCGAGGGGAATAAAAATATAACACTATCTACGCATATGAGTAATATATTATTTATTAGACTACGCAACTGCTTCTGTATAAACACAAATACAAACCACCACTCCGTTTATACAACTACTTAAACAAAACAATACTACTAATCCGAAGTGCGTAACTTCCTCTCACCTGTTTTATAATTTCGTACTTAAACGAGCAAGAATATTAATAATTAAAATTTGCCAAAATTTTTCCTTATATATTTTATTTAATTGTTTCTATTTATTACATAAAAGTAAAATCAGACAATTGAATACATTTCCTGTTACTTTTTAAATACAGAATAACTCAAACAGATAGTTGTAGGTATTACAAATACTAAAAATACATTCATTTGAATACAACGTCCAAGACATTTCAATAATCAATAAGCGAACGTTGATATCAAGTATAATGAGGTGGTCAGTCTTTTCACTTACAAAAGGATCCTTAACATGTGATCTGAAACATCAATAGAAGGCTTGTTCAATAACTGCATATAAATTCTTCTAAGTACGAATGTTATTAAATTTTTTTTTTTATACTACTGTAATTGTGTCTACTAGTTTTTCTTCTTTCTGCACTTTTATGACCGATAACAGGTTACAATTTATTTCATGACTAGAAAAGGAATATTTGTTCTGCTTGCTTATTAACCCTTCGAGCGTAAATGATGACATTGTTATGCCAAAGGAAATTTTCGGCAGACATTTTACATATGTGTAGGAATGTATTTCCTTTATATTAACCAAAAAATTATTCTGTGATTAAACAAAAAATAAATTTCACACAGATTTTTATATAGAAATTTTATATCATCTTGTATATTCGAAATATTAAAACAGACGATCATCGCATCGGTTAAAGCGTAAATACAGGAAGTTTGAATTTCTAGTAAAATATTTATTTTCATTAAAAAATAAATAAATAAAAATACTACATCACACAGGTGCTTGAACCTTAAAACTGCACACAAATGACCTGAAATGCCACTAGTTTAACCAGGTTTAACTTTGAATCTATTCTGGCAATTTCAATGCTCAACAAAAGGAAACATCAAATAAAGCCAATTGTTTATGTTAATAATTAGTTTATATCTAAGACAGTAGCAACAGTTAATGGATATAACATTGGGAGCTAAACTGATACTTCATAGTAAGTTGATAACCTAAGAGTTCAAAACCCAGTCTTTTATTTACGGAGTTAAAATGTACAAAGTTTAATATATAATCTACAATAACTATATATTTTTAATTTTAAAACATTAAAATTTTAAAAATTTATATATAAAATCAGTCCTATTTGCATGTATATTAAAAGCAAATATTTGATAGATAAATATTTATTAAGCAACTTTACTAATGTATATATTTTAAAATAGTTTACAGAGAAAATAATGAAAATAATAAAACAAAAAGGCTTACAAATCAATATTCTATAATTATATATTATTAATCACAAAATCACGACTAAAAATACTGCATTGATTAAAAAAAATTTAAATTTTTAATCTTCACTTAGATATTCTGCTGAAGCAGCAGCAATAATCAAAATATACTAAAACACATCTTAAACAGAAAATTATCATACAAATTTTTACTGCTTCTCTTTCGTATCTGTAGAATATTAAAGAAGTTTTTAGTACAAAATTTTAGAAATTTGACCAGTTATTGATGCATAAAACAAAAATTAACTACAGGAATGAAAAATAAAAATAAAAATCAAATTTAATACGATATTATGGAGTAGAATTTTAAACTCTGAAGAATGGAATTCGGTACTTTTATCGAGACCGTCTCGATTATTACGCAAGCAAAAATAATCTAGTCAGAGCATAAATTATTTAGCGACTCGTTGATTAAAAAGTATTTTTCTAAATCAATATTTATACAAAATATGAAGTATAATCTGTGAAGTTTTATTTTCTAAAAGCCATTTTTTAAATGTTATGTTTACTAATTTTAAACAAAAATTAGACCATTTATAAATACTAAAGATTTCAGATAAATTAAATAAAAATAATACAAAATTATAATAATAAAAAGAAATGAAACTAATGTATAAAAAGATTTAAAGACAAAGTCTAAGATTTGTATGTTACTAATTGGTTTATCAGGACAATTATTTTGCAAGTGCTTTTGCATTTAAAAATACATAAATTTATTTGATAAACTTTTGGATTTCTTTAGAAATATGAAATAAAATTATAACATATGTTTACATTAACAAGGAATTAAAATTATACTCAATTTACCAAACAAATATGCACAACAAGATTATCAAAAGCATCCTTCTCATCACGTCAGGGATTTACATAAAATATAAAAAAGGAATCGGCACATAAAATCTATAATAATTGCAGTCAAAATAAACAAAGTATTATTAAATATAATTGTAATTGTTTTCTTCAGAAAACAGGATTTAGTACTAGTAAATCAAGCAACAGGTAACGCGCACCAGTAAAAGGTTTATAGATACATGGTTGTGTTACAAGCAAAAATAAACAAAAGACTACATTCAAATTGAGTAAACATAAAACATTGCCATTTTAGAGCAAAATAATTTATCCAATAAACTTATAATGCTAATTAAAAATATGCTCATATCTAGATATTAATTAACAAGTTAAAACTAGATGATTTCCTATTTAAATAGACAAAACTTGGAAGGATTTGGGTGTAAAAGGTACACAGAATTATCCTTATTAATAGGCTACACTACCTAATGTACTGTACATCTTATGAAATGATCATAAGTGTCAATTTACCCTCATGCAGTAAAAGCAAAGTCAGACAGAAAACCCTGTAATTTTGTGTGATAATGAACAAACAACAAAAGAATTTGTTTGCATCTCTCTTAAAACTAGATTCACAAGAGTTACCACCTTTCAATTATCAAAAGCATCCTTCCCATCACACAGTATCGGTGTAAAGGCTGCATACAAAAGCAACAATAAGCTATAATGATAATCATAAAATAAACTTTTATAAATTCTCATTAAATAATCCGATGACACTAACTTTTACCAAAAAAAGTATAATAAAAAAAAATAAAAAATAAAATAGAAAAGTTGCTAAAGTAATTGCCTAACTAAAATCAAATATATACTGTGTTTTTTGTAATAAACACCACAGCCAAAGACAAGAAAAGCTACAGACATCCTTTAATAGTAAGTACAGTCTATTGAAAGAAGAGAAGGATTATTATAAAATTAAAAATTGCACTCTACATATGTTGAAATATTGTGTGTGTGTGGTGTTGCATTGATGTTCAATAATAATAAAACAACAAGTTTTTCCAGATTTATTCCGTAGATACACAACCAAATGATTGCCTTAAATATACACATGCATGCACAAAAGATATCAAGGTGTTTAGCTGGCAGAAAAGAGGGTAATGGAAAGGGGGAGGGAGAGGAGATAGATAGTAGAGATAGATAGGATCCCTCTGAATGGCATATGTATGGCTACTGTACACTATGTTTGATGTTGGCATGCAGTTTCTAAGCTGCAAGGCAGTATTTTCCCCAAAGGGTCTAAAAGAAAACCCAAGTGTAGCAAACACCAATAATCGAGTGCTGCCACAAATAGCTAAGTGTTGAAGTTAATGCCAAATGCCTGTTAGTAGGAAGAATATATATATATACACACACACACACAAAATATTACAATACGGTGTACGAATTCCAGACTTTTACCGAACATTTCACAGTCGTTCAGTATATCGGCAATCAGAAACCACTTCGAAAGGAAATCATTTCAAGAAGGAAGTACAACATAGATTGTGCAATAATTTAGAAATTTTTAATTTATATTTATAAAATTTAAAGGAAGTAAAAATATAAAATGTAATTCCTAAATAACTTTAAAAATCATTGCATAGATATTTAGTAGCAGTTACCTTTAGGTCATTCATATATAAACGTGTATATAGACAATTTACCTAAAGTTAACTCCTACCCAAACTTCAAGCACGAATTGAATGAGTAAAGAACCATGTTACATCAATTTTCAATGGAGTCAGACAAGTAGATCTCACCTACAAGGAATTTATATTAAAAATTCAAGCAACAAGACAAAAAGCATATAAAATTATAAAAATCCCATTCGTTTAAAACTCTAAAAAAGGAATTAAATTCGTCTAAACTACGCCGCGACGAATAATTTTTTTTTTTTATAATTTTTTTAGGCCTAACTTACTACGCACGAGAAATGAAGAAAAAGCGTTAAATCCACTCACCTATCGTCGATATAAAAGTCGTATTGAAAGCGTCGTCCGAAAACCTGAACAATATACAAGTCTTTCCCACGCCCGAATCACCGATCAGGAGTAATTTGAAAAGCAAATCGTAGGTCCTCTTCGCCATGTTGAATAACAACACGGCCGAATGCTTAACAACGGGATAACAGTACCGAACTTACGGATTATAATTAATACTATTCGTTCTTAAGTTAACTAACGATATACCGTAACGTATATACTTAATAAATTAGATAAAATTAATTGTAGAATTTTCCTTTCCGTTTCTGCTATCTCCGCATTCGACGGCAGACGATTAATCAGCATTTGATCGGACTTTTCTCGCTACTCCGTACGAACCTAACATGTACCGTAAGCGAGATTTTTGATTGATTGCGTCATTTGCTCAATATCGTCTGGTTACGTGATGTCGTCTGGATTTGTTGTGTTGTTATTATTACTGTTATTATTATTATTATTATATTGTTATTATTATCGCCGCTCGATTTTATTTTAATATTAAAATAAACTGAAAAGTTGTAATTTTCGTCTACTTTTATTTTTATTTTTCGTATAATAAAGATAATTTTGTCTTATCATAAGAAAAACGCCATTCTTAAGAAATTATATTAAAATTTTNACTCCTCTGGTGAAAAATAAATTCTTGTGGTTGCATGAAACTGAAGTATGTGCGAAACTAACTGTACTTAATGGTCTTTACATCCTAAAGTGATTAAAACCAAGTTGCTATCTGTTAAATATCATTAAATATTCTAACAAAAACAAATTTTTTATCTTCTGCGTACTGAGAAATGTGTTTTTCACACAACAGTAGTAATTGCAACACCTGTTTGGAAAAATGCAGGAGTCTTCAACGCTTTTAATTGCTGTCAGACCTGCAATTTTCTCTCTTGGTTCCTTCTGCTCCTGGAAAAAATAGAAGGAATTCCGTCCTGTCTTAGTGTTGGCTGTAAACGTTTCTCCGTTACAGTTTTTACGTTAAACTAGTACTAATGCCNAGATACGTTATTTAAAATTTTAAATATATGACGTCATTTTCCGTCTTCATTTAAAAAAATTTTTAAAGCAATATTTTTCTTGTCTTGCAATTTTCGTCGCTGAAATAATACTTTATCCTTTAGCTATCGCGGTAGAATAAATTGTTTATATTATATTATCGCATTCAACATGCGATGTGGACTCTCTAAATATAATTAATCACGTCCTGATTCGAATATAAATATTAGTTCTAATTTTAGAAAAAAGTTTTTAATTTGTAATGAATACCTTTTCCGAAAGATGGCGCTAATCTGTAATAGTGCCATGATTACTAGAATATAAGGTTGGAGAACTCTTTCAAAAATTGCCACCAGGGCGGTGCTATCAGCAACTTGGGCCTATTTTCATTCAGTGTATGGCTGCGTTTCTTTATGCAGCGAGAGTGCAGCGTAAATGACGTCACGAGAAGCTATCGCTACACGTCGCTGCATCATAGTTTAGAAACGCTTTCCGCTCGAGCAAAACATGGACGTTCATAATCTATCCTTTAATTCCAGTTACAGCCGAAAATAGTGCTTTAGTTAAAGAACTACAATATTTAAATAAAACCCAAGGAGTGATGAGGAAAGTCAAAACGATTTAGTAGTTGTAGGTATTTTTGTATTCGTTAAAAAAGGTCGATAAGGATTGGAGGCAAACGTCTTTCGGGTATAATTGGAGGCAGTCGCTGATGTTGAGAAGATGATTTTTTGCAAGACTATTGTTAGAGAGGATTCTACCCCTGATGTCGTCAAATTTTGAGCACTCGTTGAGGCGGTGTATGGTTGTATCAGTTTTATTTGGGCAGTATTTGCACTGGTTAGTGGTGCAGATGTTGCGAGTATAAAGAAAGTGGTTAGTAAGCAAAGAGTTTGTTCTAGCGCGATTAATGAGGACGTTGATACGGCGGTCCGTGATGTCAGGAATAGAGATATCTGATGTGTTAGAGAGCCAAGGGTAGAGAGATTTTTTGGGGTAGGTGTTCCATTTGTTGTTCATATATTTCTCGTTGTCGGACTTGATGAGAGAGTTGAGGTCTTCGACAGTAATATAGTGGGTAATGGTAGAGTTGGGGGGGTTGGCGAGTTTGTCCGCTTGTTCGTTGATGGGAATGCCTTTATGAGCCGGGGTCCAGATAAGCTTGGTCTGAAGGTTAAGGATATGCCTTTGGTTGAGGATGGTGTTAATGGTTTGGATTAAGGTAGAGGACTTCTCATGTTGAGCGTGGAGAGCCTTAAGAACCGATTTCGAGTCCGAACAAATGATGGCATCTTCCTTATTGTGGGTAACATGATGGATTGCCTGAAGGATTGCGTATCCTTCCGCAGTGAAAATCGTGGCCTCAGGGTGGAGAGAGAAGTGGGCCGTGATGTTGCCTTTTTTGTCAATAAAAGCCGCTGTCACGGTGTTGGAGGTTTTCGACCCATCAGTGGCAACGATGGTGTTGATATTTTGCTGCTCCTCCCATTCTTTAAAGGACTGTTGGATGAAAATGTCTGGGAGATTGGAATTTTGGAAGGCAAGGTCGTCGAGATGGATGTTGTGGATGGAGGCGTTGGTGATGCTGGACGGCTTTAACGGAAGATTGGATGGTTGAATGTTATGCAGGAGAAGCCATGAGCGGGTGAAGTGAATGAACGGAATCTTGACAAGAGAGGCGCCAGAATTGTTGTGTATGTTCTGAATCATGGAGTGGAAAAGGAGGTCAGAGGTAGCTTTCTTGACGTAGGTGCAGTATTGTTTAATGATGCATTTGTGGAAGCGGCATTCGAGGGAGGTTTTATTTGCGGCGCGGAGTGTAACGGTGTTGTTAGTAGAGATGGGAAGACCCAGGCTGTGTTTAATGTATTGGGTTTGGATGGACTCTAAGGTGTGGCGCTGTGTCTTGGTGAGAGTGGCAATACTGGGGATGGTGTATGTAATAATACTACCAATGGTGCTGTTAGCAATGCAGAGGAGGTCAGTCGG